AAAGCTCAGGGACAGCGCCCAAGCCCTGAGTGCAAGCCCCATGACCAAAAAAAAAGATGATCAAGATTCCTCCACTTACAACTATCCTCCCTGATACCCTACAGAGTAAGTTAATGATTGGCATGGGTTCACACAGGTAGAGAATAATGGAGCCAAGACTCAGAACTCAAAAGGTCTGTTTCTTGTTTGCTGGTCCTAGAGCTTGAAATCTGGGCCTGGGTACTATTCCTGAGCTCTTCAGCTCAAGGCGAGCACTCTACCACTTAAGCCACAGTGCCACTTCCAGTTTTCTGGTGGTTAATTGGAGATAAGAGTCTCATGGGGGCTGGGAAGGTGGCTCAGTGGTAGAGTGCTAGCTTTCAGCTGAAGAGCTGAGGGGCAGCACTCAGGCCCAGATTTCAGGCCCCATGACCACGACGACCACCACAACCACCACCACCAACAACAACAAAGAGTCTCATGGATTTTCCTGCCTGGTCTTGGCTTTGAACTGCGATCCTCAGATCTCAACCTCCTGAGAAGCTAGGATTACAGGGGTGTGCCACCAGTACCCGGCTGTTCCTGAACTTTTGTGCTAAAGGGTAGCACTCTACTGTATGAGCTACAGTTCCATTTCTGGCTTTTTTTTTGGGGGGGGGGTTAATAGAGATGAGTGTCTCATGGACTTCCCAGGCTGGCTTTGAATCATGATCCTCAAATCTCAGCCTTTTGGGAAGCTAGGATTATAGGCGGTATGAACCACTGGCACCCTGCTAAGAAAGTCTGGTTTGAAAGTGCTAAGGGAAAAGGACAATCAGTTGGCTTTTCATTTAATTTCCCTGGTGATGGAGAAGTCTAGGATCTGTGAGGCAGCTTTGTTCTCAGACAGACACTGTGGGCCCCTTGGGTGCGGGATATTTTTAAACTACAAGTTGGTAGTTCTTTCAAACACGCTCCAGTGTTTACACACTGAGCAGATTGTCTGGGGACTTGCGGAGGTCTTTCTCTGCTGAGGTAGCCTTCAGACACGCGCTTTTCCAACCTGGAGCTGAAGTAGGTCTGGGGTAGGACTGCATTTCATCAGGACCAAGAACATCTGAGGCTACTTCCATACGTGGTGATGAAGATAGGGTCAGCTGGGGATGGGCCCAGATTGGTCTTCTCTCTGAAATAAGGATTGCCTCACCCAGTCCTACAATCCTGTTTGGGAAAGAGCTGGAGGTCAAAGGTTGGGTCTGAACTCTCCTGCTCAGAAGAGTAGGTGAGGGTTACCTTCCTCCTACTTCCCTTTTCCAGCTCCTATGAATTACATGAAAGCACAGAAGGTTGGCTCATGCCTGCAACTAGCTACTCCAGGAGGCTGAGATCCAGAAGATCGTGGTTTGCACCTCGCCCAGACAGAAAAGTCTGCAAGACTCCATCTCTAATGAACCAGCAAAATGTCAGACTGGCAGGCGGTGTGTCTGAAGTGGTATGTAGAACAAGCAAGCTGAGTAATTAGTTCAAGCCTCAGTCAGTACTGCTAAAAATAGCAGGGCCCTGGTGACTAACACCTGTAATCTAGTTATTCAGAAGTCTAAGATGTAAGGATTGTGGTTCAAAGCCAGCCTGGGCAGGAAAGTCATGAGGTTCTTATTTCCAGTTAAACACTCAGAAGAAGCTGAAAGTGGTGTGGTGCTGTGGCTCAAGTGGCAGAGTACTTAGCTTTGAGCCAAAGAAGCACAGGAACTTTGCCCCACAGCTCTGAGCTCAAGCCTCAGGACTGGAACCAAAAATAAAAAATAATAATTCCACAATAATGAAATGTCAACATTTTCAGTAAAAAAGAATCTGAGCTGTCAGGGTGCTAGTGGTTCACATCTGTAATCCTAGCTACTCAGGAAGCTGAGATCTGAGGATCACCGTTCAAAGCTAGCTGGGGCAGGAAAGACTAAGTTATTCTTTTCATTCTCAGTCTTTATTTGCCTCATTACACATAAAAATAATATTTATCTTCATTACTAAGCTTTTGGGATCTCTCTAAATTATGTTCTCAAAGTAAGCACCTCAATCATTTGATCTGATTTTCTTCAGGTCCTTTAACTGAAAGAGCCTTGGAAATTTCCCTCCTAGGTGGTTATGCATACTATACCCCCACAAGAAAAGTAGAACTTGTGTGTGTGTGTGTGTGTCTGTCTGTCTGTATGTCTGTAGGGCGTGGGGCTTGAACTCTGGGCCTGGATGCTATTCCTGAGCAATTCAGCTCAATGCTAGCACTCTACCACTTGAGCCACAGCACCACTTCCGGCTTTTTGGTGGTTAATTGGAAATAAGAGTCTCATGGACTTTCCTTGCCTGGGCTCGCTTTGAACTGTAATTCTCAGATCTCAGCCTCCTGAGTAGCTAGGATTACAGGCGGGAGCCACCGGTGCCTGGCTAGAATTCTTATTTCGACACAGTAGGAATACTGTGCCTCCTAGACAGGTACTACTGCTTTGACTATATCTTGATGCCTGATCAGGAAGTGGCTTGAGGGGTGATTGTGGCAAGCAAAAGGCTAGAGTGTCAAATGGTTTCTAGGCCAAAGGTTATTCCACAGATTATTGATTATTTAGGGAAGCCTATATCTTTATAGTTAGAGAATAGTTGCTAGCTACCTTAAACAGGTGCTCAAACTCAACATCATTAGATCTTGCAGCTGGGGCTAGTGGCTCACGCCTGTCATCCTAGCTACTCAGAAGGTGGAGATCTGAGAATGGAGGTTTGAAGCCAGCCAATCTTGAAAAGTCCTTGAGATTTTTATCTCCAATTAACCATTAAAAAGCCAGAGGCGGAACTGTAACTCAAGTGGAAGAGTTCTGGCCTTGAGCAAAAAAGCTTAGGAACATAGGGACAGTGCCCTAAGCTTGGGGAAGGAGGGTTGGGGGGGGGGGGGGGGGGAGGGAAGCTGTGTTCAATTCTCCGGCTTAGGGAGGGAAAGGGATGGCTTCTGCAAGAGTTGAGTGGAATAAAGCAAATTAAGCATGTTGCACAGAACCAGGTACACAGTGAGCATTCAATTAATTTCCTGGATGGTTTCGGCATCTCTCCTTTTTCATCCTCACAACATTGAAATAATCTGTTTATTGAGCTGCTCTTTTATTTGAGGTTTCTCTCCCCACCATGAGCTCTTTATAAAGAAGGGACTTGGGCCTGCTGGATATGCTTTCCAATACCTGTGGGATCTGCAGCTGCTGTTGCTACCATCAAAACCTTTCCCCTGGATGAACAATACATTCTCTTGCGATGGGCCGGAGGAGTGTCTCTCAGGAATGTAGGCCAAAGCTGATCCAGGTCCAGATACCAGCTCCTGAGTAGGAACAGGATAAAGGACCTGAGTAAAGCTGCACAATTCCTGTTATTTGAATGGTTCAGTTGGTGGTTAACGGCTTAACTGTATATTTAGTCGGTCGTGGGGCCTGAACTCTGGGCCTGGGCGCTGTCCCTCAGCTCTTCAGCTCAAGGCTAGCGCTCTACCACTTGAGCCACAGCGTCACTTCTGGCTTTTTCTGCTTATGTGGTGCTGAGGAATCGAACCCAGGGCCTCATGCATGCAAGGTAAGCACTCTACCACTGAGCCACCTTCCCAGACCCAATTTTATTTATTTTGTCGGTCGTGGAGCTTGAATTTAGGGCCTGGAAGTTGTCCCAGAGCTCTTTTGTTTAAGGCGGGGGTGGGGAAGCTCTACTTGGGCCACAGCTCCGCTTCAAAGATGCTCGGACGTTCTTGCTCTCTTGCGAGCAGCTGCAACTACAAACATCTGGGATTGCTATGTATACAAGTCCAACAGCATTGTCCGCAGTAACCTAGGCTAGACTAAGACCCATACTTACTGTTGCAAACCAGTTATGTTCAGTCTCCGTAGAGACTGTCAAAAATTGCCAGTGCCGACTATATTGCAAGTCGTCACGGCGGGGTATTGGGAAAAGTTTTCAATTAGCAATAATCGCGCCTCGGATAAACCTCATTGGCTACGATACTGCCACTGCGCAAAGCTGAAGGGCAAGGCCCCTCACAGCTCTCCCAGAGATGACAACGCCCTTTACATTGAGGGTGAGTTACTTCCCACACAGTCACTGTATAAAGCTTGTTCTATTTGAGTAGGTCTATCTCCGTTCATCGGTGTGCGGGAGTTCTTTATTAATGGTTATCTGGTGCCCATATATCCCGATTTGTGAACTAGAGGGACGATCGCTAGGGATGATGGGGATTCTTATGCAAATAAGCCTGACGTCACAGAGATGACTGGGTTTGACTTCCAGAACAGACGCTGAAACAAGAGCCTGGGTGAGTAGGGGAGGAAAGCAAAGGGGACAAAAGAGGTGGTGTGTGTTGCGGGGGAATACGTTATGGGGCTGAGTGCAGGGGTGTTCTTAAGGAGGTTAGTACATTGCTTTTATAATAAAAGGGAAGGCGTCGCAACCTTCAGTGTGGCAAAACGAAACAAGCACGGGATATGAAAACCAGAACTGAAAAAGCAAAAAAAATGTCAGCAAAAGTTCGCGGTGGAGTTTCAGAACTGAAAAAAACCTGTAAAGAAAGCCATCAGCACACAGACGCAACTATCGTAGCACAACCGCAAATGAAATCCTCTTTCTTAAGACATGACTCATTCAGTCTCCGTAGAGACTGTCAAAAATTGCCAGTGCCGACTATATTGCAAGTCGTCACGGCGGGGTATTGGGAAAAGTTTTCAATTAGCAATAATCGCGCCTCGGATAAACCTCATTGGCTACGATACTGCCACTGCGCAAAGCTAAAGCACGGTATGTCTCACTCTCCTCTCTCAGGGATGACACCGCCCTTTACAATGAGGGTGAGTTACTTACCCACACAGTCACTGTATAAAGCTTTTTCTATTTGCATAGTTCTATCTCCATCCCTCGGCGCGGGGAGTTCTCTACTAATGGTTATCTGGTGCCCATACCTCCCGATTTGTGAACTAGCGGGACGATCGCTAGGGATGATGGGGATTCTTATGCAAATAAGCCTGACGTCACAGAGATGACTGGGTTTGACTTCTAGAACAGACGCGGCAAGAAGAGCCTGGGTGAGTAAGGGAGGAAAGCAAAGGAGACAAAGGAGGTGGTGTGTGTTGCGGGGGAATACGTTATGGGGCTGAGTGCAGGGGTGTTCTTAAGGAGAGAGTGGAACTGCTTTTACGAAAATAATTATAAGGGAAGGCAGCGCAACCTTCAACATTAAATGTGGTGAAAGAAAACAAGCATGGGTGGTGAAAACCACAGCTAAACACAAGCAAAATAAGAAAAATGCTATTAAAGGTTGTTGAGAGAGTTCCAACTACAACTTACCCAACTAAGCTACAAGCACACAACCACACGTTAGCACAGCTAGGAACGAGGCACTCTTCTTAAACACGACTTATTCAGTCTCCGTAGAGACTGTCAAAAATTGCCAGTGCCGACTATATTGCAAGTCGTCACGGCGGGGTATTGGGAAAAGTTTTCAATTAGCAATAATCGCGCCTCGGATAAACCTCATTGGCTACGATACTGCCACTGCGCAAAGCTAAAAGGCGCCGCCTCCTGGTCATCGTTCCCAATAAATGAGGTCCCTATTTCAGAAAGGTGAATTTAAGTCTGAAGGGGGGGAAAAATAAACTCCTGTTATTTATCTATCTGAAAAATGATGCCGTGAAACGCCATCGTGCGTGGAACTTTTGAGAATACATAAGCGAGATTCACTAGTGATTCACTCACTAGGTTTACGTGGAGAATGTGCAAAGCACTATGGGAGGAACACATGCTAATAGATTTTAATGCAAAGACAGAGGGAAGATTGACCGGGATGGGTGCCTGCGGAGATTGGCCTTGCTGGCTCACATTTCACAGGGTAAACCTTTCTCCAAAGCGTTTCTGCTGCTGCTGTTTAAAATATATAAAGTATATACAACAAAATGTATCATTTTAAGTGATTTCAGGGTGAATTCGGTGACATTTAATATACTCAGATTATTGTGCAAGCATCACTTATTATTCACCTCCAGACTTTTTTTTTCCTTTCTGGTCCTGTGGGGCTTGAACTCTGGGCCTGGGCGCTGTCCCTGCGCTCTTCAGCTCAAGGGGAGCGCTCTGTCACTGGAGCCACAGCGCCACTCCCGTTTTTTTTCTGATTAATTGGAGGTAAAAGTCACACGGATTTTCCTGCCCTGGCTGGCTTTGAACCGAGATCCTCTGATCTCAGCCTCTTGAGTCGGTAGGATGCCAAGCATGAGCCACCGGAGCCCAGTTCCAGAACCTATTTGTTTTCCTTGATTTCTATTCTCCATTCTCTCACCCTAGCCAGTGACAACACACTCCTATTGCATGAATTTGACCACGCTAGAAACTTTACATAAATGAAATGATACAATATCTGGCCTTTGGGGGGTTCTGATGTATTTCACTTATCATGATACTCGTCCACGTGGTGCTGCGTGTCTAGATCTCCTTTCATTGTGGTTGGATGACCTCGTTGAGTGGATTTTGTTTATCCAATCGCTCCTCCTCAGTGCCTGGGGCTGTTTCCTCCCTGGGCTATTGTAGACAGAGTTGCTTGGGTATAAAGTAGCAGTTTGAGTTTCTAGTTTCTTTTTTTTTTTTTTTTTGGATACTTAAGTCAAAGTGATGCTGCTGGATCATATGTCAATCCTGTTCATTTCAAAAGAGTTCTCTGTAACCTTTTTCTTTTCACCTTTTTCATGCTGGGGATCAAACCCAGGGCTCTCTGCATGCTAAGTGAGGGCTCTACCATCCACCCACATACAGCACTTTTCAATGTAAACTTTGTCGGTCTGGGGTCTGAACTCTGGGCCTGGGTGCTGTCCCTCAGCTCTTCAGCTCAAGGCTAGCACTCTACCATTTGAGCCACAGCGCCACTTCTGTCTTTTTCTGCTTAGGTGGTACTGAGGAATCGAACCCAGGGCCTCATGCATGCAAGGCAAGCACTCTACCACTGAACTATCTTCCCAGCCCCCTGTGAAAACTTTTTAATTCAGAAAAAGGCTGAAAGGTTATGCCCATGGAAATGCAATGTATATGCAACGTAAAGCAATTGTCTCTCCCTCACTGACTGCTTTACACTTCAAATAGCTATTTGAAACCTCTTTATGAATTTCTTTCCTCCTTGAACTATATTCCTCAACATATCTTGATTTTGACTTTTTCTATTTTTTAAAAATGAAACAGCAGTCTCTGAGAAAGTGACCTTCCCTCCACCATTTTATTGTAAAAAAAAAAAAAAATTTAAACATAGCTGAGTTTGGTAGTGCACACCTGTAATTTTATCACTGAAAAGATTTGGCAGGATTGCAAGTTTGAGACCAGCCCAGTATACATAGTAACACTCAAAAAAAAATCAGGGCTGGGAAGGTGGCTCAGTGGTAGAATACTTGCCTTGCATGCATGAGGCCCTGGGTTCAATTCCTCAGCATCACATAAGCAAAAACAAAAAAGCTGGAAGTGGCACTGTGGCTCAAATGGTAGAGCGCTAGCCTTGAGCTGAAGAGCTGAGGGACAGTGCCCAGGCCCAGAGTTCAGGCCCCACAACCAGACCTCTCCAAAAAAACAAACACGAGAGGCTTAAATAATGACGCCAAACGTTTACATGCTTATCATATAGATATGAAAATTCGGTTTTTAGACGTCTGTTTGGTGCTGATGTGTATATATTACTTTTAAATTTATGACACAGCACAAACTGGTAGGGTAGGATAACCAGCTGGAAAAAAAAGACTGGATCAATGTCAAATAATCTAAATTAATCAAATTGATTTCATAAGTTCAAAGAAACTTCCTAGCTTTTGAGGATGTCCTTAGTGGGGCTGGGAAGGTGGCTCAGTGGTAGAGTGCTTGCCTTGTATGCATGAGGCCCTGGGTTCGATTCCTCAGCACCACATAAGCAGAAAAAGCCAGAAGTGGGGCTGAGGCTCAAGTGGTAGAGCGCTAGTCTACAGCTGAAGAATTGAGGGACAGCATCCAGGCCCAGAGTTCAGGCCCCATGATTGACCAAAAAAAAAAAAAGAGAGGATGTCTTTACTGAATGATTCAGTAGCTTCTTTTCCCTTTTGTCTTATCAGTACTAGGGTTTGAACTCAGCACTTCCTCCTTTGTAGTTAGATATTCTGCCATTTGAGTCATGAACCCAAGTGTACTGCATTTCTAGACAGTTTCTACAAAGATGTGTATTCCACCTCGTGAACTGAAAAAAGTAACCTGTTAGAAAATTTCCATAATATTGAAATGTAAATATTTTGATATTTTTATAGTTTTTTACACATACTAAAAAAAGTGAACCAGGTGCCAGTGGCTCACGTCTGTAATCCTAGCTACTAAGGAGGCTGAGATCTGAGGATCGTGGTTTGAAGCCAGCCCAGGCAGGAATGTCAGTGAGACTCTTATCTCCAATAAACCACTAGAAAACCAGAAGTGGTGCTGTGACTCAAGTGGTAGAGTGCTTGCCTAGAGCTGAAGAGCTGAGGGATAGTGCCCAAGCCCAGAATTGATGCCCCAACTGACACACACACACACACACACACACACACACACACACACACACACACAAAGGTACAATGGCTGGGAATGTGGCTTAGTTGTAGAGTGCTTGCCTAGCATGCATGAAGCCCTAGGTTTGATTCATCAGTACCACAAAACAGAAAAAGCTGGTAGTGCCGCTGTGGCTCAAGTGGTAGAGTGCTAGCCTTGAGCAAAAGAAACTCAGGGACAGTGCCCAGTCCCTGAGTTCAAGCCCCAGGACTGGCAAAAAAAAAAAAAAAAAAAAATTTTTTGAGGGGTGATAGAACCTAAGACTTTCTTTCCTCCTATTTTTCTCACTGGAAACAACCAAGAGCAGCGAGGAAATAAGTAAACATTTGATTCCCAGGCCTCTCCTCGGACCAATAAAGTCAGAATTTCTGCAAGTGAAAAATAGCCATTATGTTGGTTTTTTTTTTTTTAAAAAAACAAAAACATTGAAGAAGCCAAGTGGGTGAGTGCATTAGTGAGTGCATTGATAATACTTAATTATCCCTATTCAACGTAATACATCCAATTTTCAGATGTTTGTGAATGCATTTCTTCACAACCCGCTACAAGGTTATTTTACACACAGCAAGGATCTTGATTCCATTGTGTCCAATGTAACATTAAACACCAAAGATAAAGATGGATCAGATATAGATCCATTATTAAAACAGCATAAAATCTTAGGACAACGCTGTTTAAATGCTGCTTTGCATCCAAAATTTTGCTTGGGTTCATTGGTACTTAAATTCTTGCTTCTCTGTGAAGAGTCTTTAGCTCAGGTGAGAGCTGTACTAAGCTGAACTCCTGTGACTAGGAGTCACTCCTAGTCACTCCTGTGACTAGGAAAGACCGACAGGGGGCGCTCTGTGAGACTCCAGGTCCCTCAAACAGGAGAAACGTGGGATTCGGGGAGTTGTAGTTTTATTTGCAGCATATCTGCTTCATGAGCTACATTTCCCAAAATGCTTTTGCAGCCTTGTAGATGAGGCGTGCCATAAGTTGTGAAAGGTAAGCGTATTTCATGCGGGCTCTAGGTTTTCTGGACATCCTGAATTGCTTTTTTTTTGACATCCTGAATTTCTTGTAAGGAAGTCCATTTCTCCTCTTTGTCCTTGGAGATGTGGAGGGGGAGATCTGGAAGACAGCAGTTGTTTCCCTGGACCTTTGGACTGTGTGTTTAGCTACTCCAATGTTATTGTGCAATGTTAAATTGGGGTCCTGAACTTGGGTTTAGAAAGCCAAGCATAAAATAATGTTTGCATATAGAGATAATGGAATATATAATGTTTAAGGTTAACTCTTTTTTTTTTTTTGTCGGTTGTGCAGCCTGAACTCTGGGCCTGGGTGCTGTCCCTCAGCTCTTCAGCTCAAGGATAGCACTCTATCACTTGAGCCACAGGGCCACTTCCGGCTTTTTCTGCTTCTGTGGTGCTGAGGAATCGAACCCAGGGCCTCATGCAAAGCAAGCACTCTAACACACCTTCCCAGGCCCTAGGGTTGGAATATATAATGTTTATATATAGAGACAGAGAGAGAAAATTTGTGTTGTGTCAAATAACATGCCAAAATCTCTCTTTTTTTTTTTTTTAGAGCTAGCAAAGTTGTCAGGCAGGGTTTTTCTTGTCTGTGTCCTAGTGACAAAATTTTGCAATGGAATAATTTGGAGGAAATGAAGGAATAAAAGGTAGGTGTGTGTGTGTGTGTGTGTGTGTGTGTGTGTGTGTGTGTGTGTGTGTTGTGCTTAGTTATGTATGTAAAAGCAAAAGCCTGAAATGTCTGAACAGCTTCATGAAACTTGACATGCTGGGTGGGAGTAGGCACTGGCTAATTAATATGCAAGAAGCCCCTGGTTCAACCCCCTGTACTGGGTGGTGCTGGTGTATGGGAAACCTGACATATTGGAATTCCAATGTGTTTCTCTTAGTTTAAGGAGCCATAAAAGAACTCAGATTTATAAAATCGGAAGTAAGTTTTTGTAATGTGAGAAAACCTGTCTTTTCTATCAAAGTGTGTTGCTTAAACATTCCAGCTTTCGCCTGGTGGCTTGGCTCTTGTTAAGGCAAAAGGAATTGCTTTGGGATAAGGAAAAGGTTTTGAAATGCCAAGTTCTGTCTTAAACTTGTTTCTCTTCAAAGTGGAATTAAGGCACACCTCAGATTGTTAAAGAAATAGCATGGAGTGCCAGTATATTTTGGCATTACTTGTGTACTGTTAATCTTATTTCAATGTAGCCGTATGTGAATACATTTTATGTATTCAAACTAGCCAGTCATGAGCAGATTGTGAACCTGAGCTCAACCACACTGAACAGAGGGGTGGGGCCAGCAGTGTTAGGGATTAATAGGGGAGCAGCTCTTGTGCTTGCTTGCTAGGTTTTTGGCTGATGGCATACTCATCCCAGAAGTAAGTTTTGCCTTGCCAAGACAATAAGACAATTCTTTATTTTTGTGTCTATCATTGTGACTCCACTGGTTCTTTTTTTATTTTATTTTATTTTTTGCCAGTCCTGGGGCTGGGCCTGGGCACTGTCCCTGAACTTTTTTGCTCAAAGGTAGTGTTCTATCATTTCCGCCACAGCTCCACTTCTGGATTTTTGCTGGTTAATTGGAGTTAAGAGCCTCTCAGACTTTCCTGCCCCAGCTGGCTTAGAACCATGATCTTCAAATCTCAGTCTCTTGAGTAGCTAGCCACCAACAGCCAGATTATAACTGACTTCTTATATTTAACATACGTGTCCATCCACGTACATATATCAGATTGTTATTTTCATGGCTGAATAATACTCCACAATATAGATAGGCCACATTTTGCTTATCCATTCATCAGTTGGTGGTTAACTTCTGTTTGCACAACCTAGCTTCTCACAAGAGGGTTCTTTTTTTCTTTAGAATGAGGATGAGCTGTGGATTGACTTACAGGTCAATGAAAAGCCATTGGATCACAAAACTCAGCCGGCCTTGCTCACATGGACCCATGGGATTATTTGTGCCACCAAGTCCTCCTTTGGACCCTAAGAAGGTCAAAGAGTTACAACGCTTCATCACCCTTTCCAAGAAACTTCTAGTGATGACCGGGGCAGGAATCTCAACTGAATCAGGAATCCCAGACTACCGGTCAGAAAAGGTGGGACTGTATGCTCGTACAGACCGGCGACCTATCCAGCATGTAGATTTTGTACGAAGTGCTCCCATCCGCCAGCGCTACTGGGCAAGAAACTTTGTGGGCTGGCCTCAGTTCTCAGCCCACCAGCCGAATCCTGCCCACTGGGCTTTGAGCAACTGGGAGAAAAGAGGAAAGCTGCACTGGTTGGTGACTCAAAATGTGGACGCTTTGCACACGAAAGCAGGGAATCAGCGCTTGACGGAGCTGCATGGGTGCATGCACAGGTGCAAGAAGTGGGCGTGGCTGGAATGGGAAATGGTTTGTGACCTGATCAGGGGAGAATGGAGAAAGCAGAGGGCATTGGCATGGAAACCAGCAGGGAGCATGACTTTTGTTGTTGTGGCTGGGTATGCAACCCAAGGCCCCATGAATGCTAAGCATGTGCTCTGCGTCTCACTTGTGCCCCTAAACCAAGAAAAGAGATACTGATCTTTACAGAGATGAACTGAGCAAAGCATAGAGGGGAAAAACAACAACAACACTGGTTTTAGGTATCAAAGAAATTACTTTAAGCATTTGCTATTAAAGACCAAAGCAAAATAAAGACAAAAGCAGTCTAGTAGAGCCGGGAGCCTGTGGCTCATACCTGTAATCCTGGCTACTTAGGAGGTGAAGAAAAGAGGATGGAGGTTTGAAGCCAGCCCAGACAGGAAAATCCATGAGACTAATTTCCAATTAACTCCCCAAAAAACTGAAAGTGGAGCTGAGCTCAAGTGGTTGATCATTAGCCTTGAGAGAAAAACAAAACAAACTCAAACAGCTCAGTCCCTGAGTTCAAGTTCCAGGAATGGCACACACATAATAAAATAATTGAACAGAAGAGTAAGTAGGGAGTAAGGAAACAAGAAATCATTAAAAAAAAAAAAAAGAGATACCTAGTTGGGCACTGCTGGCTCATGCCTGTCATTCTAGCTATTCAGGAGGCTGAGATTTGAGGATCCTGGTTTGAAGCCAGCCCATGTAGGAAAGTCCAGGAGACTCTTATCTTCAATAAACCACTCAAAAACTGGAAGTGACACTGTGGTTCAAAGTGGTAGAGCACTGGAGCTGAGAAGGTGGCTCAGTGGTAAAGCGCTTGCCTTGCATGCTTGAGGCCCTGGGTTCGATTCCTCAGCACCCATAAGCAAAAAAAAAACACAAAAACCGGAAGTGGTGCTGTGGCTCAAGTGGTAGAGCACTAGCCTTGAGCTGAAGAGCTGAGGGGCAGTGCCCAGGCTCAGAGTTCAGGCCCACGACCGGACCCAAAATAAAACAAAACAACAAAAGTGGTAGAACACTAACCTTGAGCAAAAAGGGCTTAGGGATAATGCCTAGGCTCTGAGTTCAAGCCCCATGACTGACCAAAAAAAAAAAAGACACCTAATAAGGGAGGAGAATGGGAAATGTGGATGTGAGGAGAAGAGAAGATAAGAGGGTCTGAAAATAGTTGGGGACTAGGCACTTCGGCAGCTTTGCAGGTCCCAAGAATGCAGTAATCAGCAGGTCTCATGTTTGATTTTAGGGTCCTCTGCCTGAATTGTGGTGAGCAGACTCCTCGGGGGTTGCTGCAGGAACGCTTTCAGGACCTGAACCCCAGCTGGAGTGCTGAGGCCCAGGGCGTGGCTCCCGATGGAGATGTGTTTCTCTCCGAGGAGCAGGTCCAGACTTTCCAGGTCCCGTCCTGCGTGCGGTGCGGAGGCCCTCTGAAACCAGATGTTGTTTTCTTCGGGGACACAGTGAACCCTGATAAGGTTGATTTTGTGCACAGGCGTGTGAGGGAAGCCGATTCCTTGCTGGTAGTAGGATCTTCTCTGCAGGTACCTGACTCAGTCAAGGTGGTAACTGCCTTTTGCTTCCTCTTAACTGGACTAGCTTTTCCTGGATCTCACTTTGTTTCTGGTCTGGGCAGGTGTACTCTGGTTACAGGTTTATCCTCACTGCCCGGGAGAAGAAGCTACCAATTGCCATACTGAACATTGGGCCCACACGATCAGATGATTTGGCATGTCTGAAACTGAATTCTCGCTGTGGAGAGTTGTTGCCTTTAATAGTTCCACACTGACTATAGCCTGATCCTCCTGAGCCGAAATCTGGAACGCTTTCTTGAATCCTGCTGCTGAAGGTAAAGGTCTTCTCAGATACCTAATATACTGATTCCTACTGGAGAATAGTAATGGAGGCCAATGAGACAAAGGATTCTTAAATAGGGCCATTTTTTTTTGGGGGGGGGGGGGGAGTGGCCGGTTGTGGGACTTGAACTTTGAACTCAGGGTCTGGCGCTGTCCCTGAACTCTTTTGCTCAAGGCTGGTGTTCTACCACTTTGAGCCACAGCTCCACTTCCAGCTTTCTGGTGGTTCGTTGGAGATGAGAGTCTCATGGGGACTTCAGCCGGTGTCCCACTAAAACTGTAGTGTGTGTGTGTGTGTGTGTGTGTGTGTGTGTGTGTGTGTGGTGTGCTGTTATTAAACTTAAGGTCTGTGTGCTGTCTTAGCGCTTTTGCTCAAGGCTGGCATTCTGCTACTTGAGCTATAGCTCCATTTCTGTTTTTTGTTGTTGTTGCTTGGGTCCCAGAGTTTTGAACTCAGGGACTAGTCACTGTCTCTGAACTCTTTTTGCTCAAGGCTAGCATACTAGTACTTGAGCACAGCTCCACTTCTGTTTTGCTGGTTAATGGACATTCCTACCTGGGCTGACTTCAAACTGCAGATCCTCAGATCTCAGCTTCCTGAATAGCTAGGATTACTGGCATAAGCCACCAGCACCTGGTTCACTTCTGGCTTTTTAAATGGCTAATTGAAAATAAGTGTGTAATGTTGATCCTCACATCTCAGCTTCCTGAGTTGCTAGGATTACAGGAGAGAGCACTGGCGCACAGCCTATATCCTGTTTTTATTCAATATATTCAGTACGTATCATGTTCTCACTGTGTCATCGTTTTTCTGGATGGGGTGGCTAAAGTTCACCATTATTTCCTCTGCCCTAGTCTGAGTTTACCATACCATTGATTTTTTTCCCCCTCATTTCTTTTCAGATCCCTAAGGATTCAGCCCCTTTCCCTCCAACTAAATTAAGCTCACTGCAAGCTATAGAGGGCAGCAAGCTACCATCTCTTCAACAGCCTATCTCTGAACAGATGAGAGTCAACCTCTGAAGAGACTCTTTCAAAGAAACAATTGCTCTTGATGGGAAAACTGCACTCATTCCATTCTTATGTCACCCAGTAGAAGAAATGGCCTGGGAAATGTACAGACTGGCATGGTCTTTGCAGTGCTAACCCAGAGATTTCACTAATTTGTGGAGTAGGGCTAGAAGGAAATAACTTGACTTATAATTCCAAATGGTTGTATCTTTAACTGAACTATTTTGATATATTTTTGACACAATGAGCAATGGTGTAAGTTGGATTTTTTTGTTTTGTTTTTGTTTTTCGGTCATGAGGCTTGAACTGGGGGCCCAGGTGCTGTCCCTGAGTTCTTTAAGCTACAGTGCTACTTCTGGTTTTCTGGTGGTTAAATGCAGATAATGGTCTAACAGACACCTATCTGGGCTGTCTTCGAACCATGATCCTCAGGTCTCAGACTCCGGAGTAGCTAGGATTATATGTAGGAGCTACCAGAGGCTGGCTAAGTGTTTTTGTTTTGTTTTGAGTTGTTTTTTTTGGTCAGTCATGGGGCTTAAACCCTGGGCCTCGGCACTGTCCCTCAGCTCTTCAGCTCAAGGCTAGTTCTCTACCACTTGAGCCACAGTGCTACTTCTGATTTTCTAGGTGGTTTATTGGAGATAAGAGTCTCATGGACTTTCCTGCCTGGGCTGGCTTTGAACCTTGATCCTTAGATCTCAGCCTCCTGAGTAGCTAGGATTACAGGTGTGAGCCTCGAGTGCCCAGCTGCTAAGTGTTTTTTTTTTAATTAACCAAAGAATAATCATTTTTAATAACACACCAGGTGTGTGGCTTTTCCATGTATATATACATACATACATATGTTCTTAAAAACAATTTAAAAGGGCTTTATGACACCTAAGGATTTCTACTTGATGTCAGCTGTCAGACACCTGCATTGAATCTGGCTTATAGAGAGAAAACAATTCTCATGTGGGTTGATAAGATGATTTTTTTTTCTGCTGAGGAAAGCAATGAGACTTGTTTGATTACTTTGTTAGCCAGAAAGAACCAAGGTACCCTTGAAAAAGTGAGGTGAATGGAAGAATCCAAAAGTTCTAGAAAGAACTTTTGTCTAAAATTAGGACAAACTATACATACTTGCCCTGCACCTGCCTTGGAAGGAAATTTCTGTTCTCAAGGATAATCCAAGGTCTCAAAAACACACAGTTCTTTTTATACAACTCTAGGTTTGTTCAGAGTCATTCATTCTGAAGATGTGTAAGCCTGAGAGTCTCTAGCTTTTTTTGGGTGGCGGGGGAGGCAGATCGGGATTCCAAGGTGTTCTGGAACAGATTTTGTCAGTATTCACAATTGTATTGAAATTTGGGACTGAAAATAAAAAGGAATGGGTAGGGGTGGGGAGTAGAGGAAGACCATATTTTCTGCAAGCCTATGCTGCATAGTAAGAACCAGTCTTGCCAGGCACTGGTAGCTCACACCTGTAATCCTAGCTACTCAGGAGGCTGAGATCTGAGGATCACAGTTCAAAGCCAGCGGGTACAGGAAATCCTGTGAGACATTTATCTCCAATTAACCACCAGAAAACCGGAAATGGCTCAAGTGGTAGAGTGCTTGCCTTGAGCTTTAGAGCTGAGGAACAGCACCCAAGCCCAGAGTTCAAGCCCCAGGACCGACAAAAATAAATAAAAATCAGTCATTTATGATCATCTCCCAATGGTGCCACATTTTTTGTTGTTGTTGTTGTTGTCTTGGGGCTTGAACTCAGGGCCTGAGCATTGTCCCTGAGCCCTTTTTGCTCAAGGCTGGCACTGTACCATTTTGAACCACAGTGCCACTTCTGGTTTTCTGGTGGTTAGAGACTTTTCTGTCCAGGGTGGCTTCTAACCACAATCCTCAGATCTCAGTCTCCTGAGTAGCTAGGATTACAGGCATGAGCCACAAGCGGTAGCCACTGGAGCCACTGTTCAATCCCCACCCATTCTCTACTAGGAACTACTGTATATACAATGACAGAGAAAAGTTAAACTGACCTCTCACATGCTAGGTAAGCAGTCTACCTTTTTCTTTTTGATTTCTTTTTTTTTGAGACAGAACCCTACTATGTAACCCAGCCTAGTTTAGCTTTGAAATTGAATCCTCCTTGCCACCACCTCCCAAATGTGGAGAGTAGATATGTAGCACTGTGCCTGACATCTAAGATCCAGATTTACCTAAGGTCACATTACATTGTTTTGGAGCCAGGACTAGAATCCAACCCGGCATTCCTCTAGGTCTTTTTCTTTTTCAGTTCTGGCATTTGCATCAGGTCCATGCATGTTAGGTGACTGCCTAATACCTGAGCCAGGCCCCCAGCCTTTCTTTGAATAGGATCTCACATCTACGCCCCACTGGTCTGCCCTCCATCCTTTGTGTGTGGCTGTGGCTGTGTGTGGTCTTGAACTCCGGGCCTGGGTAGCTGTCCTTTAGCTTCTATGTTAAAGGATAGCATCCTACCACTGGAGAAATACCTCCACTTCCGGCCTCCTTAGTGGTTAATTGGAGATTAAGAGTTTCACGGATTTTCCTGCCCGGGGTAGCTTCAGACCTTGATCCTCAGATCTCAGTGTAATTAGAATTAGAGAAGTGAGCGTTGGCGTGGTCTCCCCTTTGCGGCTCAGCCTCTCCCTTTCTTGCCTTCACTCAACCCTCCTAGGAATAATAATAATGGTGATGAGATGTAGGAGTTGCCAAGCGGAAAACAGAGAGGCAGGTGAGTGGCCCCGCTGAGGCACTCTCGGGAGTTCCTCGTCTTGCGGGGACTCTGCACGTTGCAAACGCGCGCAAACAGCACAGAAGCCCTCCGCCGTTCCAGACCACACATGAAGCACTATTCTCAGGCACTGCGCAAGCGCGGGTTTGGGCTCGCGCAGGCGCAGGGGGCGGGCTGCGGGCCAATAGAAAAGACAGGCCGATAGTTACGTGTCATGACACCATCCAATGACATCTTACTCCAAAATCTCTCCGGGCCCAGAGTAAACGGGCGGAGTCACGTGAGGTGGGAAGGTAAATACAGCCACGTGTCCCCGCTGTGAAAGGTGACGCGCTCCGTGAGGAGCCGGTGCCCGCGTCCGGCACCGTGCGGACGCCCCGGCCGCTGGGATCTTAATCCTCTCTCAAATGATTTTCAGGTTTTTTTTTTTTCCCACTCAAACCCTCCTGGCCACAGTAATAGAATTTCCTTTATCCAGTTTTCAGCGCCCAGCAGATGCTCATGAAAAGATTATTAACCGGGCGCTGATGGCTTAGGTTTGTAATACCACCCGCTCAGGAGGCTGAGATCTGAGGATCGCGGTTCGAAGCCAGCCTGGATAGCAAAGTTTGTGAGACTCTCCAATTACACAGACACACACAGAGAGAGACACAGACACACAGACACAGACACAGACAGACAGACAGACAGACACACACACACACAGAGCTCTGGCCAGCCTGGGCTACACAGTAAGCCCCTGTCTCAACGAAGAGCGGTGCTAGAGTGTGGCTGTAGCAATCACAAGGTCCTGCGCTCAAACCTCAGTACTGAGAAAAAGCAAGAGTTGTAGAAAGCAGTGGTTTAACTCAGTTGGCAATGGAGTAAGAGGAATGAAAGCAGGTGAGATCTGTTAAACAACTTCAGGAGGGAGCTCAGAGCGTAGTTGCTGATGGAAGTGAGCAAAATGACTTCTCCTATTGGGCCTCAACTTAGAAAATAAGATCTCTGAGGTTGGGATTTAGCTCAGTGGAAGAGCACTTGCCCGGCAAGTGCAAGGTCCCTGAGTTTGGTCCTTAGCTCTGGGGAAAAAGAAGAAGAAAATAAGATCTCCTTCTAGGAATAGCTCCTAGGACTAGCAGGAAATTTAGAGACACGCAGCCCTGGGAGAGTAAATTATTGGTGGTGGCTGATGATGACTCACATTTCAAAGAATTTGCTTCCTAAAAATGTCCTAACTTGAATGGTCTTCACAGAGATCTAGTTATGTTTAGTAGAGAGAAAATACAACAATCTCCAAACATGAGATCTTTCAAGAGATGCTTTATTGGAAGACACAATGTAAGATGCAGGCAATACAGCAGGCAGGGGTGCTGCTTTTCAAAGGTGACAATCCTAACAGTATTTCTTGGTGTCCAGGTCTTTGTGCTCCTTGTTGTATGGGACCTGGGAGAAGCAGATGGCAGCTTCACGGTCACAATTGCAGATGAAAGCTTCACATTCATTGTTTTTGCCTTGAAAGGGACAAAAAGTGGGGTGAGCCAAGCTGCTTCTTGCTTTGTACAACCCAGGAAGAAGAATTAGTTGGAATAAGCTTCTAGCTATCACACTGGTACAAATTTTCAGTTGAGAAACCAAGCAAACTAGGTGCCTAGTTATATTTGACTTTAATTTTTTTTTGGTGCCAGTCCTGGGATTTGAAACTCAAGGCCTTAGCTACTCAGGAAGCTGAGATCTGAGGATCACCATTCGAAGCCAGCCTAGACAGGAAAGTCTGTGAGAGTCTTATCTCCAATTAACAACCAAAAAGCTGGAAGGGGGCTCAGGTGGTATAGTGCTAGCCTTGAACAAAAAAAGCTCAGGGACGGGACATGGGCCCTAAATGAGAAAAAAAGAATAGCAGGAAAGAGAAAAGAGGAAAGAAAGGAAGAAAGAAGAGATAGGAAGAGTGAAAGAAGGGAGGGAGGGAAGTAGTAAAGAGGAAGAGAAGGAATGAAAAAGAAGGAAGGAAGGGAGGAAAGAAAGAAGTAAAAGAAAGCAAAAACGTAGGAGCTTAGGCGCTCCAGTGGCGCAGTCGGCTAGCACGTAGTACTTATAAGAAAGCACAAACTCAGACTCTGAACTTAGTGCTTAAGATAAGAGCCTTTTTCCCCCATCAGTCGTGATGCTTGAACTTGGGGCCTAGGCACTGTCCCTGAGCTTTTTTTGTTCAAGGCTAGTACTCTACCACTTTGAGCCACAGCTCCATTTCCATTTTTCTGATGGTTAATTGGAGAGATTGGAGTCTCACAGACTTTCCTCTCTGGGCTGGCTTTGAACTGAGATCCTTACATCTCAGCCTCGTGAGTAGCTAGATTTTAGAGGCATGAGCTACCCATGCCCAGAAAGATGAGAGCCTTATAAATTAGATTAAATCAGGTTTATTTATTTATTTATTGCCAGTCCTGAGGCTTGAACTCTGGGCCTGGACGCTGTCCCTGAGCTGCTTTTTGCTCAAGGCTAGCACTCTACCACTTGAGCTACAATATC